AGCACCCACATGGCAGCTAACAACTGTCCATAACTCCAGTTCCAAGGGATCTGACAGCCTCATCTGTCCTCCGCGGGCATTGTACAACATGGGTGCACTTACCTACATGCAGGCAATACATGCATACACATAAAATAAAAATAATAAATAAAATGTTTTAAATTTAAAAAAAAGAAAAAAAAGTCAGAGATCAATTCTAAATTGGGTGAAAAATTTGGCTTACTTGAGAGCAAAACTTTCCAATACTCTGATAGACAATGAGTTACTATCGCTACCATACAAAGAGTTTTTACGAACTGGTAAAAAACAAAAGCAAACAAGATAAATAGAGTCAAAGTAAATTCAAAAGTTCAATCTCAAGGAAATAAAAAACAACAACATACCAGTGGCAACACAAAAGAAAACTGGTAATATTCAGTGCTGAAGACAGCCTGGAGGAATGGAGACACTGAATCATTGCTGGTGGAAACATAAATGCTGCAACCTGGCAGTTCCCATAAAAAGGTGACACACACATAGCCTTTACCAGAAACTCCCAAGTTCAGAAGTATTTCATGCTAAAGTAAAATTAATAAATAATGCCATATGAACAAAGATGTTTATTTCATTATTTACAATGGGAATTATTACAAAAGGGAATCTAACTATCAAATAAAAAGACACAATCATAGCAGGGACTAATAGGAAGGGGAAATGGGAGTTATTTAAAAATTAAAGTCTGTCTTGGGTGATGAAAAAATGTGGGAAACAGATGTTGGAAATGGCTGCACAATGCCATGGATATAATTAAAACCACTAAATTCTATATTTAAACATGATTAAAAGTTGGTAGCATGCTTCCCTAGCATGCATGAAGCCCTTGGTTCAACCACTATCACTACATAAAACTGGCTGTAGTGGCACAGGCCTATCTATCATCCTAGCATGGGATGGTGAAAGCAGGAGGATCTGAAATTCAAGGTCATCCTTGGCTACGTAATTGTGAGGCCAGCCTGGGCTACATGAGACCCTGTCTTTTAAAAAAAACAGGTTAGCCAGGCATGGTAGTGCACACCTTTAATCCCAGAACTCAGAGGAAAAGGAAGGTCGAGCTTTGTGACTTTGAGGTCAGCTTGGTCAACATAGTGAGTCCTAGGCCAGCCTGGGATGTAGTGGAACCCTGTATCCAAAAAAAGGGGTCGGGGGGTTATTACTAATATTACTATTAGGTGAAATAAAACACAGCACAAACATTTTTTTTCGGTCTTTTTGAGACAGGGTCTCCCTATAGCTCCAGCTGACCTGGAACTCCCTATGTAGACCAGGCTGGCCTCAAACTCACAGAGATCCACCTGCCTCTGCCTCTGCCTCCCAAGTGCTGGGATTAAAGGCGTGCACCACCACACCCGGCTCTTTTTTTAAAAAAAAGGTAGTCTGGGGCTAGAGAGATAGCTCAGTGGTTAAGAGCACTTGCTACTCTTCCAGAGGACCCAGGTTTGGTTCCCAGCACCTATACATTAAATAAATAAATAAATAAATAAATGATAATTTTTTTTAAAAAAAGGATAATAATGCCTATATCCAAGTACTTAGGAGACTAAGGCAGGAAGACTGCAAGTTCCAGGCTACATAGCAAGACCCTATCTTAGAAGACCCTATCTTAAAAATGTGCACACGTGGCAGGGTGTGTGTGTGTGTGTGTGTGTGTGTGTGTGTGTGTGTGTGTGTTTTGTAGGGTTATATGAATTTAGAAAAACTAACCACTAACCACTAACACTATTTAGCTAGAGAAGCTGAAGCACCAAGACAGAGGAGGGACACTCAACTTTCCTTTCAGATATTCTTTTTTTTTTGTTTGTTTGTTTGAGAAAGGGTCTTCCTGTAGCCCTGGATGGCCTGAGACTTGTTATGTAGAACAGGCTGGACTTGAACTCACAGAGATCCACCTGCCTCTGCCTCCCAAGTGCTGGGATTAAAGGTGTGTGCCACCACGCCTGGCCAGACATTTTCTTTATTGTTAATTTTCTTACAAAAAACATGAATTATATTTGAAAAAATAACTTGAAAAATAAGGCAAGCTGGGGCTAGAGAAATGGCCCAGTGAGTAAAGGCACATGCTGCTAAGCCTGATGACCTGAGTTTGATTCCCAGGACCTACATGGTAGAAAGAAAGAACTGACTGCCACAAGTTGTCCTCTGATCTCCATGTGGACACCTTGCTGTGTGCACAACTCTCCTCATCACAAGCAAATACATGGATAAAAGTCATTCTTAAAAAGGCAAAACCAAGCCAGGGGTGGTGGGATATGCCTTTGATCCCAGCACTCAGGAGGCAGAGGCAGGTGGATCTCTGTGAGTTCAAGACCAGCCTGGTCTACATAGCGAGTTCCAGGCCAGCTGGGACACAGGAAAACCCTGTCTCAAAAAGACAAAAAAAAAAAAAAAAAAAAACAAAAAAACAAAAAAAAAAACACAAACCAAACCTCCAAATGCACCAGATTCTTAACTCTGCAAAGTGTGGTAGACACCAGAGTCCCAGGGCAATCTCCTCTCTTCCTCCTCTCTCCTCTACATACAATGCAATGCAGTTAATTGACATTAGTAAATAACAAGCTTATCTCTTCCTACAAAGAAAGACTGGCTCCTATCACCAGGTGGTTGCTTAAGGCCTGAGCAACTCAACAGAGGCAGGACAAGAAGTACTGTAGTCATCCAACAAAGCCTAAGCTCTTACCTATGAGTGCATAGGACAGGAACTTGTTGACAGAGGTGAGTGCGAGGCCAGTGATAGGGCCAGTGGTATCTTCAGAGCGAATCACTTCCAGAAATGGACGAAGGAATACATTTGGCTCAATCTCTGAGAGTTCTGCAAGTAAAACAAACACAAACCAGAGATGAAGAGGCGCTCCCTAGCAGAAAGCTAACCCTCAGAAAAGGTCATTTTTCATCTGGCACAAAGTTAGAGGTCCTCACAGCTGGATGAAGCTTCCTTCTTTTGGATTACCTTGAATCAAGTCCCTGATACTATACTATTCTATCTATAGAAACTTTAGTATGGAGCTCTAGAAGACTAGTAATTTTTTAAAGTATAATATTTTATCCAGGTGTGGTGGTACATGCCTTTAATCCCAGCACTCAGGAGGCAGAGGAAGGCAGATCTCTGTGAGTTCAAGGCCAGCCTGGTCTACATAGTGAGTTCTAGGCCAGCTATAGCCCTGTCTCAAAAAGACCAAAAAAAGTATATTTTAATTAACAGTAAAATTATTAAAATGGTAAATTTTATATTGTATAATCAGTTTTTGCTGTTGTTTTGTTTTTGTTTTGTGTGTATGCATGAGTGATGCTGGGTCATACCTGGTTACCAGGGCTATCTTCAACTTTGGCAAAATGGATACTGTTGCCATCAATGACCCCTTCACTACCTCAACTGTATGGGCTACATGGTCCAGTATGATTCCACCCATAGCAAGTTCCCTGTATAGTCAAGGCTAACAATGGGAAACTTGTCATCAATGGGAAGGCCATCTTCATCTTCTAGGAGTGAGATCCCACAAATATCAAATGGGTTGAGACTGGTGCCAAGTATGCTGTGGAGTCTACTGGTGTCTTCACTACCATGGAGAAGGCTGGGGCCCACTTGAAGGGTGGAGCCAAAAGGGTCATTATCTCTGCCCCTTCTGTTGATGTCCCATGTTTGTGATGGGTGTGAACCATGAGAAATATGACAATACTCTCAAGCTTGTCAGTAGCACCTCCTGCACCACCAACAGCTTAGCGCCCCTGGCCAAGGCCATCCATGACAACTTCAGCATTGTTGAAAGACTCATGACCACAGTTCATGCCATTATGGCTATCTAGAAGCTGTGGATGCCCTCTCCAGGAAACTGTGGAGTGATGGTCATGGGGTTGCCCAGAACATCATCTCTGCATCCACTGGCACTGCCAAGGCCGTGGGCAAGGTCATCACAGAGCTGAATGGAAAACCACTGGCATGGCCTTCCCTGTTCCTATCCCCAGTATGTCTGTTATGGATCTGACCTCTAGCCTGGAGAAAGCTACTAAATGCAAGGATATCAAGAAGGTGGTGAAGCAAGCATTTGAGGGCTCCTTAAAGCGCATCCTGGGTTATACTGAGAACTAGGTCATCTCCTGTGACTTTAACATCAACATCAACTCTTCTACCTTTGATGCTGGGGCTGGCATTGTCCTCAACAACTACTTTGTCAAGCTCATTTCCTGGTATGACAACAAAGTTGGCTATAGCAACAGGATAGTAGACCTGATAGTCCACATGGGCTCCGGAACCACTCACCCCAGCAAGAGGAAGAAAGAAGCCCTTAGCTAGGGGTCCCTGCCCTAACTCAGCCCCCAACATACTGAATATCTCCCTTCACAGTATCCATCCCAGGAGGAGAGAGGTTTAGAGAGCCCTACTCTCTTGAATATCAATAAACTTCACTTCCCCCCCACCAAGAAAAAAGATATATGATCAATCTCAAATCACACAATAAGCAGAGTTGGAATCCTAAAGTTTCCCAAGACACACACCTATCCTACTTAACTACTAGTACACACTTGTAACTTTAGCAGGTTTTATTCAACTTTTGCTTTTCTAGACTCTGCTGTGGTTTCAGCTTTCAGAACCAGTTCCCTTTTAGTATTCAATAGGCCAGAAAGGTTTAGGGATATGATCCAGGCTATTACACCTTTAGAGACAAAGGGAAGGGAAGTATGTGTGTATGTTCCTATGCAACTTCATTTTCATGCAAATGTAGGGAGCTCCTACTCAGTTCCTACCTCCTTTCTCTGGGTAAACATTCCTGGGCTTGCTGCTTCCCAGATTAATGCTTTAATTAATTGGCAGATTGGGTAGCATTTTCCAAGCCTTGCTGTACAGTGATCACATCAGCTGCATAAAACCTGCTTCTCATTTCCCACTGGGCCCACCTAGAGACGTACAACTTGTAGGAAAAAAAACTAAAGAAAAATACATGTGTGTGCACGCACGTGCGCACGTGTTGGCAGTAGCAATAATGTTGAGATAGAAGAAATATATTTGGGAAAAGTGAAATATAGAATACCTTTGAAAGGCACATTAAAAGGATGACTCAAGGACTGGTGAGACGGCTCAGTGGTTCAGTTCCCAGCACCCACATGGCAGCTAACAACCGCCCCCATAACTGAAGTTTCAGGGGATTCAATGTCTTCTTCTGGCCTCTGCAGGCTATTGCACAGATGGATACACTTATATATATATGCAGGTAAAATACTCATAAACATACAAAACAACAACAATAAAAACAAACAAACAAACAAACAAACAAACAAACAAACAAACGTGGTGCTGCATATCTTTAGTTCCAGCATTTAGGAGGCTGAGATCAACGCCAATCTGGTTTACATAGTGAGTTCAGGGCCAGCTGGAGCTACAGGAAGACCCTGTCTCAAATTGTTTCTCCCCAAAAAAGATGGCCTGTGGGTAAAGTGCTTGCTGTACATGTATGAGGACTTGAGTTCAGATCTCCAGCATCCTTGTAAAAGCCTCTTATAATAACCCCAGTGCTGGGGGGCAGAGACAGATCCTGTGGGCTTGCTGGCCAGCTAGCCTAGCTGAAAAGGTGAGCTCCAGGTTCAGTGAGAGAACTTGTCTCAAAAAATAAGGTGGACAGCAATAGAGGAAGACACCAATGTTGACCTCTGATTTCACATATGAATAATGCAAAGGTGAGCACACACACACACAGAACACATATACACACCACATATACAAACATACTACACACACACGTATACCACACACACACACACACACACACACAAATTTAAAATCATCTAGTCTTACTGCTTTAGGAACAAATGCATAATGTTCACTTTGTCATCTAAGAAATGGCCATGTTTGGTATATAGGAAATAGAAAAATCCACATGAAAAATAAATCTTTCCTTGAAAATGGGGAGAGAGAGAAGAGTTTTCATGTGTTCTTTCACACACTTTCAGGACGGGGCCCATATTTCACTTCTGGTTCATGTGCATTCTGGTTTTCTTTTTTTTCCTTTTTTTGACACAGAACTTGCTCTGTAGTCCAGACTGATCTGGAATTAATAATCTCCCTTCTCCAACCTCCCTAGTGCTTGAATACAGGCATGTTCCAATATAACCAGTTCTGGCCTGCCTCTTTGTTGTTAATTATTAATTTGGTAAAATTGTTTTTTTAAAAAAAATTTTCTTATTTTTTATTTTATGTGCATGAACGTATTGCCTGAATGTATGTAAGTACGTCTGTGTCGTGAAATGTCCACAAAGGTCAGAAGATGGGGTCAGATTCCCTGGAGCTGGAGTTATGAATGGTTATTAGCTGCCATGTGGGTGCTGGGAATTGAACCTGGATCTTCTACAAGAGCAGGCAGTGCTCTAAACTGCTGAGGCATCTCTCCAGTCCCAAAACTGACTCTTTTGTGTAACTATCACTACAAGCAAAATAATGGAGCAGTTTCATCAACCCAGAAAATCCCCTCTATCCTCCCTTTGTAGCCACACTCTCCTTGCTGCTCACATTCTCAACCACTGAGCTGTTCTTCACAGGGTTTTATCAAGAAGTTCATATGAAGGGAATCAGACAACGCATAATCTTTGAGACTAGCTTCATTTACTCAGCAAAAATCTTTTAGATTTATCTAAGCTGTTGCATGTATCAGTGGTTCCTTTTTAATGCTTAATAGGTATTCAATTGCATATATGTACCATAGTTTCTTTTTCTATCCTCTGGCTGAAGAACACTTGGGTTCTCTAATTTATTACCACCAGTTCCACCTTTAGAGACATTTTAGCTAATCTGCATTCAAGTTCTTTACTAGTGATACAGTTATTTACAGATCTCCTTCCAATCTAAAGCTTGGCGTTTTTCATTCTTTTTTTTTTTTTTCTTGAGGTAGGGTCTCACCATGTCACTATATAGCCCTGACTATGCTGGAACTCGCTATGTAGACTAGGCTGGCTTCAAACTCAGAGATCCGCCTGCCTCTGCCTCCTGAGTGCTGGGATTAAAAGCATGAGCTACCATGCCTTGCTCAGCATTTTTCATTCTTTTACATGTCCCATATAGCAGACATTTTTACTTTTGAGGAAATCCAATTTGTCAATATTTATTGTAATGTTTAAGTCACTTTGCCTAATCATAGACCGTAATGATTTTTTTCCCCCTTGAGATAGGATCTAATGTAGCGCAGGCGGGCCTTATATCTGCTATGTAGCTAAGGTTAGCCTTGAACTTCTTATGCTCCTATCTCCAATTCCCAAGTGCTAGAATGACAGGCATGTGAAACCACATCTGACTTTCTTTTGTTTTATGAGACAAGAGTTTATCCAGGCTGGCCTGGAGCTTGTGATCCTTCTGCCTTAGCTACCTTAGCTTCCTGAGTGCTGGGATTATAGACATGCACCATTTTTTTTTTTTTTTTGGTCTTTTTCAGACAGGGTCTCCCTGTAGCCCCAGCTGTCCTGGAACTCACTATGTAGACCAGGCTGGCCTTGAACTCACAGAGATCCACCTGCCTCTGCTTCCCAAGTGCTGGGATTAAAGATGTGCGCCACCATGCCCGACCTGACATGCACCATTTTGACTGGCTTATTTAGGACTGTTTTAGAGTGAAAGAGTTACAGAGGATTCTTTCTTGGGTATCTTCTCTTTTTATAGGAATCACTCCATGTTTCTTTCTGAATTTGGTATGTTTTAAAATAAATGTCATGTAATGGAACACTCATTATTTGTAAATTACTTGAACATAAATCATTTTATTATGAAGTCATCCATTACAAGGATCATGTGGCTGTCAAAAACATTAACTCTGCACTTTGGGCTGGAATGCA